AGTGGATTAAAGATTTATGGCATTCAGACTTTAGAACTATTTAAGTTAATTTATATTCCTTTCTTAGAGTTTTAACTATGCAGTTCATAGTAATAAAAATAACTAAATGTTTTGCATATCTAAAAGTTTGAGGTTCTTGTTTATAGAGCAATTTTATAATAGTTTCTAAAACTACTGTCATTTTTTTTCTAACTTAAACGATAATCTAACTTAACGCTTCTCCCTCTAACTATACTTGTGTAACTTAGACAAGGTGTGACAACAATACGTTATTATATGAATCACAAGGTGTTACAACAATACGTTATTAAATGGATCACAAGGTGTTATAACAATACGTTATTAAATGAATCTCAAGGTGTTACAACACTATGTTATCATATGAATCACAAGGTGTTACAACAATACGTTATTATATGAATCACAAGGTGTTACAACATTATGTTATTATATGAATAACAAGGTGTTATAACAATACGTTATTATATGAATCACAAGGTGTTACAACAATACATTATTATATGAATCACAAGGTGTTACAACAACATGTTATTAAATGAATCAGAAGGTGTTACAACAACATGTTATTAAATGAATCACAAGGTGTTACAACAATACGTTATTAAATATCGTTCTCTCATCATAATAAGTTGAAATCATTATTATACACACTACATGCCTATCATAATCATTATTATACACACTACATGCCTATCATAATCATTATTATACACACTACATGCCTATCATCCTTCCTCCTCCTATACACAAACATATAAATAAAACAAGATATCATGGTTGGCAAAGACTTGAAAATCTAATTTCATAAGTTAGCTTTCTATAACTCAAATTTAAGAATAATGTTGAAAATTCTTAACAATAACCTCGCTGTTAGTCTTAATACTATTCTTTTATGGTATAACATTTTATCAGGTAAACTATATTTATATTGACATGCGGAAAGCATTAAAATATCCCTATAGTTAGTAAAAATACTATTTTTTTGAATCAATAAAAACATCGATTAGAATTGTTTATAGCGAAATTTTGATTAGCAGATATACTTATCATGGCAGATACCAACTATGTGCTATCTGAAAAAAAAAAAGACATTTTAGCTCCCACCGCTAGAGGGCACATCAATAGGCCACCTTGAACGTCATAAACAGTATGTCATTATTTTTAACCAGGGATAAATATAATTATTTGGATTTCCATCTCACGCGAAAAGCATGTCAGTATAGGAAATTAAAATATATTACAATCTCTGTCATATAATATTAATATTTTGAAACAATTATATATCAAGAATTCGTTTATATTAGCATAATGCACAAGAAACAACAACAACAATGTTATACCACCTTTCACTGTAGGGCGACGCAGGAAAAAAGTGTTTCATTTTCATATAGAAATGAGTTTTAAAAACCGTTATGATGTCGTTTCTCTATTTAAAAATTATGATGTTATGAAGCCATTCCAAAAGACTTCATATTGGTACTTTTTATTATGAATAGAAACACTATTTTCTCAAGAAAACTTGACAGTGTTTCCTATTGTGATTAAATATTACTTGTGCATCAACAATGGAAGGTCTTCTAATCAAACAAGACGGCAAACTTTGTCTTTAACACGTTAAGCTTTAATTTTTCCCCATGATATTCAAGTGCTTTCAACACTTCCAAAATGAATAACTTGGTTGAAATAATAGTGATTATGTTGGGTTTTTTTTTTATTTCACATGAAACATAATCAACCACTAAGAAGACAAAAGTTTCCGTTTATCAACATTGGCAAAAATGTACTTGTAAAACGAAATTTTAGTAGCACAAGAGCTAGAAAGTATTAGAAATACAAGATCATCTTTAGCCTAAAAATTATATTTTTGGTTGGTAATATTTAATTCTACGCTTTTTGATATCATGTGAATACAATTTGCATTTTTTATGCTGTTTCTTAATTTTACCTATTTCAGGATCAATAAAAAAAGTCACAAGGGTATATCAGTCATAATTGTCGTCAAAAAAGCTTTAACTTGTAATATATTCATATATTAGTTTCTAAGCACAAAAAAGAATAACTGTGTTTGTTTCTTTATGTCAAAATTGCGAAGTAACTGTCACAAGTGGCCTGGAATTTTTTCTTGTTCCCCCCTCTTCCGCTCCCCTCCTCAAACCTCCCGCTGCTCCAAAATTGGTCGAGTGAGCCCTAACCAAGATGGTGACAGCTGTCGGTGGCAATTGTGCCTTCGACAAGCGCTGGGAAAAGTCGAGTAACGTAAAGTGGAGTAGTCCATAATTTTGGTAGTCCATTACTGTTATCTTCAATTCACACTTTAAGATCTGTTAAAAGTTATCTTTTTAGGGTTCCTTTGCATATATGCTATTTAATTATTTCTAATTGTTTACATGTAAAAAAAAAGTATTTAATATTTGCTTCAAACAAAGAATCGGCTCTGAAACTTTAGCAAAAAAAATCAGTTGTCTTTAACCTACTTAACAAATAACTTAACAATAAAGCAATTGTAACAGGTATTCATATTCAACAAATTCGAAGTAATAATGTTTAAGCAGTTAATGTTCACAACATTTTAAAGTATAGGTAGTTGTAATAACAGTCTATATTAATATTTTCATTTCGAAAATGATGTATTCTGCCATGAATTTTATATTTCATCTAATTTACCATAGTTAATTTACATATCTCTATACAGTTAATAGCACCATATACATAAGATCAATATCTGAATTATTATCAGTGTGTTTTTTTTTTCCTGCATGAAAACCAGTCATAAAAAAAAGGAAGGGGAGTATTTATAGATCCTCTTAGACCCCCTTTGTTACTAAACAGTCTCGAGTAAAAGCAGATTGTGAAATAATAACTTTCTACTATATGCTAAAACTATTCATAACCTTCCTTTTTAGGTGCATTAAGTGTATCATGGCTATAATTTCAAAACAATAACCTGCTTAAAATAAAACAGCTTTTATTTCTTTATAAATAAAATTTTCCAGTACTCGAATAAAAATTCATTATTTTTTTCATCTGTTTTTATTCAATCAATTTAGATTGTCTGGGTATGCCAGCTGGCTTGCTTCCCAAGCTCATAGGTTTTGTTAAGACGTTTAGGAGAAACGAAAGTCATAAATACCTCACAAACGTCCTCATAAACCAAATAGCTAATAAAATACAATAAGCAAAGGGTGAAAATATTTCCAATGACATAAAAATCGTCATATGGAGACTATATAAAGCATTGTTTAAAACATACGAATATACAGTTTGAACAGTTAAAAAATCGAGGCTAGCCCAATAATGGTACTAAATGAAATCAGATATCCTAAACTGCTGATTGAGGATTGTTATTTCTTGTAGATGTGTTTCTATAGGTACTGTTCATTATCCACTTCAGAAAAGATTTTTTTGCTGCTACAATGCTATACATATATATATCATTAACCACAATTTCGCTGAGTATGCATGATTAACTGTTATTTAGTGGAAAGCGATAGCAAGTGACTACTTCATGTTTCTCCAACATTGTTGCCCACCATTTATTACATACGTTAGTGGGTATTGTTGCCCACCATTTATTATATACGTTAGTGGGTACTTTTTTTTTTTTTTATTCCTATTAAGTAATGTTTTTGTTGAAATTTAATGGAATCTGAAGAATAATGTTACAGTAAAATTAAATTGTTTGAATATCTGTTGAACGTTCTGTTTTATTTCATCCCCCCACACCTCCTGCTACTCTATGGTTGATTAAGTGAGACCTGACCATGTTCTTTTGCTGTGATTGAATGTTAAGGCTATTTTTCTTCTGAAGAAAAAAAAACAAACAACTTTAACTGTTTTTTTCTTACGTTATAACCAGTTATACCTTATCGTTTTTTTTTGTATTTTTTATTACAAATATCAAGTTTTTAAAGTGTAATTGGTTTCTTCCATGTGAAGATTCTTATCTACACGAACTTAGACAACTCTAACGACTTTTGAAGGTCTGGGCCATACAATGGCCACTTTGAACAAGGCTAACATACTGGGTGAAAGTGGTCCGTCGGGTCCGGACCCACGAGCTGCGTGAGATTTTAGTCACTGATGTCTCAGTAGCAGGTAATTTGGAAAATTTATCACTACTTCCAATTGATGAGCGTTAAGGACAATCAGATCGATTCACCTAGAGTATTTTCTCAATAAAATATCTGCCACAATACGTGTCTGTCGGATCTAAAAGGTGTCTCAAGAATTACTTGCTACCGAATACCATTTTATAAGTAATTGCTAAGTGATAAACACAGTGTAAAAAAAAAATCACCTGAAATAAAATATTCATCCAATACTCTGGTAGTTTTGTAGGACTATGTTCTTTGTAGCATTGATTCTGATGTAAGAGCGGTTAGTTTTCCTTATTTGACAACTATTTTTGAAACACGTGTAATCTTAGAAATCTTACGTTCTATGGTTGTCAGTGGGGGCAGTTGGATAAGCCAGAAGTAAGTTTTCCTGTAGCGCTTGACTGTAATGGGGCATTTGACTGCTGAAGGCCTGTAGTATCCTGTAATGGGACGCGGGACATTACGAACTTACTATTTTACCACGTGTCTATGGAAGTTCTGTTTATATTCGTACGATCACACGTTAACTACGTTTTGTAAACAAATCCGTTTCTTTTACGAAACATGACCACAACCTGAGGTCGTTATAGTGGAAGAGCATTTTCACTCCCCTCCTCCCCCGATTAGACGACTGAACAAATTTGAAAAATACAACAAAAGCAGATATGTTTATCACCCAATCTTTGATACCGACGTGTGTGTGCAATATTTTATCAGTTTTTCTTTGATATTATGAGAAAGCCAGATTTCGAGGATCTTTTAGCAAACACATTATAGGTTAGCTATGTTTTGAATGGGGGGGGGGGTAATCTACAGTTTGAAAGCAGGCTGAAGACGATTTATTCTTTAGTTATAACATTTAAAATGAAAAAAATTACCAACCTGCCATCGCCATCCAAGGGTAGAAAGCGTTGGCCTGAGACATGGCACTGGTGTTTTGGTAGCAAGCTGTCCATGCGTCTGACACACGAGGAGAAGCACCGCTATCTCCAGGGAAAGGCCTCACGGTATCGTTGCTCATTGCTGCAGCTCGGACACCGGTCAGTGCTCCTGGTGGCCAGGTGGACATGTCTTTTACAGCCATATTGAACCCATTCTGCTCCTTCACCAAACACTCGGGTTTGAAAGCTACGGTTGGATCTGGACTTACTGCGGTGTACAGTTTACAGGAGGGTGCTGAAGTTCCAGTGGTGTCGACGAAGCCAGGATCGTGCGCTGCCCGGGCGGCGGCGCTAGGTTGCGGATACGGCGGAACAAGGAGTCCTTGCGGGAAACGGTAGGGTTGTTCCGCTGCACCTTGACTATTGTAAAAGCCAGACTGATCAAAGTACGAGTTCATCATCTCTGACCACCACCCTCGCTCCTTTCGACATCAGATTTTGAATTTGTATTTTTTACTCAAGTAAAAGTGTTGGATTAAATTTGGCCATGGCTGCTATGTATACACATCGCAAGGACTTCCCGGAAGGGAACAATTGACCAATCAGAGTTCTTCATGTGCGGCGGCGAACTCTTTTCTCGTGCATGTATCCTACCGCCTTTGGAGTCACGAGCAAACAATTTCGTTTGAATTTTCTCCCTGACATTAAGATAGCTATTACAGTTCTTATTTTTCACAAACTTGTCACTTTTATAAATTATAAGTGGTAGACACTAATTCTATTGCACGACATACAGACATGCTCGATCTATAAATGCAATAGAAAAAAGCGCACTCTTCTCTGCTGTAGATGAGAGTTTAATCTGTAGAATCCGAAAAGGTATCTTGCCATGTGCATCTCTGGCAATTGCACAATGTCACTGTTACTTACTCCGAGAAGTTATATTTAAACTAAGGCTTGAGAAGAATGTCGCTTAAAATAAAACGGGCATATTTTCTCAACAAGGGTTGTTTTTTTTATATATATATTTACTGGAGTGATTATTAGCCTGTTCCCCTTTGAGAATTTATGATTTCAACGTAGAAGGATTCAGAACATACAAGCATTGAAATGCCATTTTTTTAAAACCCCACCCTTAACATAAGGTATGGGGGGGTCAAGTGTAACAAATCGCGATAAAGATATTCTGTGGTTAGTTTTACAACTCTTTAAACCAAGTGCTCATTCGGATCAAATAAAGTTTATGTAGTCAAATATAAAGTTTTGTTCATTGTGCTGACTTATTTATTTTGAGTGTTTGAATGAAACTTACGAGGTCTTAAAATCCCATAATGAGTCATACCAAGAAGCACAAAGAACCGTTAGGTAATTCGAAACAAATTGACTAGGATTTATTTGGTCGTAATTTTACGATAACAGTTGCGTTTAGTTGGCTCACACCGGCATGGCCCACGTACAGAGATTCTGAGGTACATAACGCTCCTCTATGGTAATTTAATACATCTATTTTCTCCGTAAATGGCGTTATAATCCATACTCTATAAAGACAGCCCAGCAAGAGGGGAGGGGCTTAGTTACATTTTGTATTCTTTTACTGATTGGTAGAGATCAGATAATGTTTTACTCATAAGGTGACCAGTACATTATAATGGTCAATATTTTTATCATTAGTCAAACTGATAAACATTATTTAAAAGATTGATAGCTCCAATAAAATTTTTGGAGTATTTAGGCTTACTAAATCATGTATTTTTAACGAAAAAAAACAAACAACTAAAAAAAAAAAAAAAGGTGCTTAAGTATGATTTAGTAACGTTTATGATACAAATATTTGTTACAGCGGTTCATTGCTCATTCTTGCACCTCTGACAACGATCAGTGCTCCCATTATAAGCCCATTCTGCACCTTTACCCAACAATAATAGTCTATAGTGATTGGAATAAGTATGACACTTTGCTCACCCACAACTTACAATCTGTAAAATTCGAACACAAAACTAGAACACAAAGAGGCAGATCTGCGAAACTTGAATATGAAGAGATGATGTTGCAGTTAATAAAGGCAACAATTTACAAAGTATGATCCAACAGAAGATCCAATGAGAAAGCGAAGGGTAGAAATATAAGAGCACTAAAGAGTCAATGATCTCTATAGAAATGTGTTACATATACAAATTATTGACTCTCTAGTTACCCGCTAAGAAATTAATCTACGATTCTTTCACACACATTTTTTTTTAACCGTTATTTTCTACATTTCAATCTTCTGTCTCGTAGGATATTTTTTTTTATTGTGATTTCATTGTTGTTGGTTTTGACGTTTCGAATTGATCCCTCTTTATATAAGCAAGTAACACATACCTTAGTTTGGCTCAACATGTTGGAATTTGGTGATTTACGTGTTGTTGTTGTTGTGCTTTACCAGTTAGATGCACATTGTGAACACATTAAGCAACCTCTAATGTTGTCAGACTTTACTTACATGTGTAAAAAAAACTATTAAGTACGAGTAACTCAACGTTTACCTATTTTATGAATTCGTTTAATTTTTAGTGTTGCTTATATTTAATGAATAATGTGTCTAAGTTTGTTTATGCTTCCCTCCACTGGAGAACCATTCAGTTAGAAAGAAATAACAGTCTATAAGGAAAGTCAGGCTAATGAGACTTAATAAGTAATTCTGAACATGTTCGTCAAGTTTGAAATAATCAAAATTGCTTTGTTCAAAGAACATATGTGTAAAGGAGTAAGGCCTCAATGATGGCAAAGGAGCCACTGACAAAATCTGTGTTTTCCGGTTAGTTAACTCCTTGCTGTTACTTCATTATATATGTGTTTGATGAACTGACTTCCAAAACTCACATTACATATATCATTTAAAAGTATATCTTCAACTTGGAATCCATTCCCTCATTATAAGCCTTCAGACTTCCAGCTGAGCCACAGGGGGGCATTGCAGTCTGTATATAGCCAAATATAATACTGAGTGTTTTCAAAGAATCGTATTATTTCATTGATAGAATGACTCATTTTGCAGCTCGAAGTTCATACTCAAAATGTTAAGCTAAGTGCTCTGGTATTTACTTAGATATGGTTTTAATACGATAATATTATCAAAATAGTATTTGTATTTCAAATAAGTATGATGATAATACAATCGTATATGTGGTCTATTATGAAATATATTTTTATTAGAATAATAAAATATGAACATCTTGGACGTAGACTTAGAAGCAAGTGTCATAGTCTTGTATTAAAGCGTAGGTAATGATTACGCCTTTTTTTCACAAAACATTATAATAAATTGTAAAGTAAATGGAATATTTTTGCATGATATTAGAGTAAGATGTAAAATAAAAATAGTTCTTTTTTTACAAAAACTTAGAGTAAATTATGTAAAACATAATAACATGTTATCATGTAAAAGTCTAAAATCAAATATATTATTTTTTGGACACGGACAAATTAGAAAAGCTGAGAAAATCCCACGCATTTTCTTTTAGCACAAACTGCACAATGGACTATATACGTTCAGTTCCTCTATATTCGGGGTGGAATCATGTTGTAAGTAACAATATTATCAATAAGGTTGTTTCAAAACACTTAAAATAACAAAAAAAAAGTAAAAATATTTTGTTTGACTGACTCTATGTGATTTTATTTGTTAGTGTTAAACACAGTTAAACAATTGTTATAGCTTCTTAATTAAATTAACTCCCAATGTTTACATCATGTAACAGATGCTACTTGTTTATCCCTACCGAGACACCTCCTATCACCCCCCGAAAAAATATCTATGTAGAATTATAAATCGCGTTATTAAATATATATATATATTTGGAATTTACGCGTCAGAAAATCGGAGCTATTTATTTGTGAGTAAGTTTTAATATACTACAGATAACGTCGCCTTTCAGTCATGCCGCCTAGAATGTAATCAACAAGACTTAACCCCTCACAAGACTTTTCTTTTACTAACAGTCATTTAAACCGCAACGCTCTGTAAACCTTTCACAAAAGCCGCCATTTTGTAAGTGGCGAACGATAATAAGCTTTGCTGTATTACCTGTCAAGTCCAGCGCAGCCCGTTGCTTTAAGCAACTGAGCGTGCTTCGTGGAGCATGGAAGCTAAGGCTGATAGATGGTGAACATCGTATTTCCTTCCAAACTGTTGGGTTTAATCAATTACACTGGGGGTGAGCATTTCTGTAGAAAACAGAGCAGAGTGGAAAGCTCCAGTTTATAGGACAATTTTAGGTGAATTTGTCCAATCACGATCGTTTTTAGTTTGAGGATAAGAGTCTCTACCAAATACGTACTACTGTCTTTTTTTACCCACTTTAGTTCTCTAGCTTCCCTCCATAGCTCATATTACAATATCAGTACTTTCCCATAATTATGTTTAATTCAACAAAATTGATTTTGAGAATTATACATGCTTCAAATTAATCATCGACTATCTTTATTTAGTTTCGTTATTAGTTTTAGACGTTCTGTGACAACATTTTATCAAAGTTGAAAGAAGAAGAAAAAAAAACACTGTTTAATTAATACATACATATTTTTATAGGCACAATTTACACAAATTTTTGATCATTCGATAACCGGACGTAAGTAACATTGTTGTTTACCATTGTTAAATAAGACGATTGTTGACGATTTAATGCGTCAAACAGTTATGTAGTGATTCAACTCATGAAGTAAATATATGTTCGTATTATACTATTGGTAATATTCCCACTTAATACCTTTTGTTGAGAAAATGGTTCATTGTCATCCAGGCTCAAATATTACGTATTGCATACAATATCTCAAATGTTTTATGCTATAGCTTGGGATAGGTTTATAACTTGCAATTCGCATCTCTGAAGACTTTACTAAAAATTTCAATTCATTGCTTATGTAAGCATATTAATACCAAAGGTTGCGGTTTAAAATCCGAATGCTGTCCTAAGAGGCTTTTCGTTTAATACCAGAACTCGTCAGTTCGGCTGGACGACGAGAGAATACAACTTAATATTTTAAAAAGTTCAGGTCTAAACGCTGAAACCCGGCGAAGTATTTAAAGCAAATGGGTTTATATATTTTGTGATAAAAATCACATAACTGTATTTTTCTCTCTCAGCCGACTTGTGGTATTAAACGAAACGCCTCTTGGGCATTGACTTGTGGGAGATAAGTGTGAAATTAAGTCCGAAATGTATTAATTAACAAAAAATAAATCTGCGTTTTACGTGATCTTTCAGGGAAAAATAGGCTTTTGTTCACATGTTCTTTTAATCAAGATAATGTCCGTACAGACAGAAATTTATATAGAAAAATCTTCAGTCTCATAACTGTAAAACATAGGTTTTAAACAATATATAAAAAAATATTTTAAGCAACTTGATAAACTATATGCTTTGCAAAAGAATTCATGTTATTTATTAACTTAATCATCTGTTAGTAACTAGCTTGAGTACACGCCCTCAGACTGAAGTTATGTAAATTCATAATTAATGAAAAGTTATCTTACAGGACATGAAAAGTTGCTTCCCTTATATGCAAAAGACGCCCATAAAAAGTGTAAAACACAAAATGTTAAACCGCAACTTTACATGTATCTCAGCATGGACCCAACAAATCTTCATGCCAAATTTGGTGAAGAT